TATTTATTTATTTATTGTGAGATAGAGTCTCACTGTGTAGTTCACGTTGGCCTTGAACTCACTATGTAGCCCATGCTGGCCTTGAACTTGCAGCAATCCTTTGCCTCTGCCTCCCAGGTGCTAGTTTATTGTTTTATTTTTCACATTTAGCTCTTCAATTCAGCTGGAATTGTTGTGTTATATCACTAGAATTGGGATCAAGATTCATTTCTTTCCCATAGTATATCTAACTGACCCAAACAATTTATTACAAATATCACACAATAGCCAGATACAGTGGTACGTGCCTGTAATCCCAGCACTCAGGAGATCGAGGCAGGAGTACCACAAGTTTGAGGCCAGCCTGGGCTACATAGTGAGGCCCTATATTAAAAAAACCAGAAAATAACATAGCAGAAACACCCCAAATATAACTGCATTTTACCTGCATTTTGTTTTCTGAGGTCTCTACTTGGTTCCATTAATCTCTATTTTTGTTTTCTGGGACCTTTTTTTTTTTTTTTTTGAGACAGGGTCTTGCTGTGCAGTTCAGACTGGCCTTAAATTCACTGTGTAGCCCAGGTTGGCCTAGAAATTGTGGTGATCCTTCTGCCTCAGCCACCCTATTGCTGGCATTACAGACCTGTGCCACCACGCCCGGCTTCTCTGGCACCAGTTTTAGTGGTTGTTTCAGAAGTTGCTGTCATTCACTCAACCAACCCCCAACTATTAGGCTTTCAGCTTGCTTTCAATCCTGGCAGTTTTTCTTTTCTTTTTTTTCTTTTTTCTTTTGGTACCGGGGATTGAATTTGGGACCTTGCGCTAGCAAGGCAGGCATCCTGACAGTTTTTCTAAGACCTATCTTCCTACTCTGAAAACAATATTATTCACCTGTGAGCCTCACAGTCCCCTCTCTTCAACTAAGTAAGCTGTGGATTTTTTTTTTTTGTACTGGGGATCGAACTTGGGTCCTTGTGCTTGCACATCAGGCAGCGAAACCACTGAGCTAAATCCCTGGCCTGGTGGATTTTTTTTAAAGTAAAGCTGGGCTGTGGAATATAAGAAGGTGAGGGCCCTTGTCTGGGTCTGCAAAGTGCT